CCCACGGTTCTGCCCCATCCTTTGCACAGAGGAGGCAGAGGGGTCCTGCAGCCCGGCCTGGGCAGCTGCTGGATCCTCTCTGCTGAACTCAACCATGTCAAATGTCTCACTTGGCAGAAGAACAGCTAAAAGCCACTGGCAGAAAAGCAGCATCTGCTTGCCAAGTCAGCACGGCTTTGGGGTGCTTGGAGCATCTGCAGGGGTGTAGCATGAGAGGCAGAATAACTCTGCTGATGGCCAGAAATTAAATTAATTCCAAAGCAGTGCTTCAGTGCTTTCCCTTGGTGGTGTTTTACACAGAAGCAAAGTAGTACATCTGGTGTGTATTAGAATCACACTTTGAATTCTCATTCTGTGGCCCTCAGAGTGCATGTGAGGGTAAAGAACTGCATTTCATTTCTGTGTAGTTGGTTCACAATCTGAATAGGAACTTTTCTACAATTAAAAACTTCTATTAGCGCATAATATCTCTTCCCAAAGTCATTGCCTGTCTTGTCATGGTGTGTCAGTACCCAACCTGTGGCTGGCAGGGCAGGTTCAGTGCATTTTAAATCTGTAGGAAAAAAGCATATTCCCAGCATGTCACTTGTTTGGTTATTTCTTGTGGGACACCCAAGTTCAAACGCTGGTGCCATGAGCAGTCTTGGGAATGGTCTGTCTCATGTCCCTTTGAAGATCCAGTCCCTTTTGTTCACTGCACCCATGTCAGGTGCAACATTTCTCAGGCCTTGGAAGTAGAGCACACCTGGGATGTCCCCATCCAGGTCAGCTTGGGAGCTGGAAGCACAGAATCATAGACTCAGAGTGGTTTGGGTTGAAGGAACCTTAAAGATCGTCTAGATCCAGCCCCCTGCCATGGGAAGGGACACCTCCCAGCAGCCCAGGCTGCTCCAAGCCCCATCCAACCTGCCCTTCAACACCCCCAGGGATGGGGCAGCCACAGCTTCCCTGGGCAACCTGGGCCAGGGTCTCATCACCCTCACAGCCCAGAATTTCTCCCTCCCATCTCAGCTCCAGCTCCCTCTGCCAGCTGGAAACCCTTCCCCCTGCTCCCATCCCTCCCTGCCCTTGTCCCAAGCCCCTCCCCAGCTTTCCTGGAGCCCCT